ATTTTTGTTCTAGTGGCAAAAATGGTGACAGTTCGAACTTTTTCCTTGTTGTTGAAGCATCGAAAAATTGGGAGTTGCATAAAATGGATGTATGATAACTCTCCAAAAGAGAGTTATTTGTGTCTAAAATTGATATAAGATAGCTAAGGATAGCCTCATCTACTCCCCAGACCTGCTGAGTTGTGCCTAAAACATCATAGAAATCAGTTTCTCCTTTATAATGCTATCATATATAAATGATCTAATTTTGAGCATTTTGCTGCAGCTTTGATGATGCTACAGCATCAGGTCCAAAAAGAGACATAAAGCGGAAAGTTGGCACTGAAAAGATTTCTCAACAGAAATTACCACAGTAATTGGATGTTTCACCTGGAAGTAAGAGCTGGGTCCCACAGGGTTTGTTTTGTTACCCTAAAAATGTAAAGAGGTGTAAATGCAAACAAGAAAGAGAAACCTCCACACACAACACCATTCATTCTTGCAATTACCAAACCCTCACTTCAAGAAAATCTCTCCAACCGTTCGAAGAAGTCAAGAGGAGAAGAAGACTCAGACAACCGTTGTTGAACAAAGACCAAGAGCACTTGTTGGGTGCTAACCTTCAGCTCCCTCTCTTCATCTTTTAAACTCTTTGTATTATTTTCATTCCCATATTTCTTGACTCCCCTTATGGATTTGTGTAGCTAATCACCTTATGTAAGGGGGAGATGTAGTGAACTCATTTCAAGGACTRTCGAAAGGAAGARCATGAAATTATTTTTCCTTTCTTCCACAGGGACCAGGAGATTGGATCTAGCTGTAGGAAGAATGTTTGGCTGATAAATAACTCACTTCTTGGTCGTCGACGTCTTTCTCGTGGCGGGAATAGAACAACAGGGAAAGACCCGACCGACCCGCCACTAACTATTAAAGCTCAAGGGCGAGCTTTATTTAAGAGAGAATGAGGAGTGAATCGAATCTGTTTTCGTTCTTGGTTTGGTTTGGACTCATCTCGATCTTATTCGTAGTTAGGTCTGGTTACCGGAAATGACCAAAGAACAAAAAAGCCAAAAACTGCTACAGCATAAAATGTTCATCCTTGCCAGACTAAAAGAAAGGGTTTATGCTACTCTAACTTTGCTGTTCTGTATTAATGATAGTGTGTTTTGAGTTGAAGTTATTTTATTAATTAATTTTCAATGTGCTTGATTACTATGTTGAAATACCTCCTTGTTAACTTTTGGAAAAATGTAATAGGGAGCGAAAAGCTTCATTTCGAGCTAGATTCTACTTGAGTTAGAGAGTGGGAACTTAAGGATAAGAACCACCCAGCTTGGTTATAAACTGTTTGCATATGCTGTTATTGTTTGACTAAGAACCCTAATAGCAGAAAATCTGGGATGTCTGGAAAGACGYCTTGTCTGTTTGACCACTATTTCACTTCATTAATGCTACAACATCGTTAGAGTAGCCCAGAAAGAGTTACGATTCTTCTCCCCCTTGCACCCTATGTTCAAAAGAAGTTATTTGTTTATCTGTTCMTGTTTGGTATTGTGGTGATTATTAAGTTTGCTTATACGCCTCTTTTGCATTCTTGCACTTACTTTTCTTTCCTTGTTTGTCGTTAACAATTGTTTGGTTTAGTGCATTGATTTCTAGGGTAATTATTATGTGTTTGGTACTTAGTCTCTATGGATTCGAACTTTTTATTACTTGCTGCGACGATGGTGTACACTTGCACGTATAAGAATTGGTAACCCAAATCGAACCAACAATGTACACAATACATTTCTTCATGGTGATTTGGATGAAGAGATCTATGTGAAACTTCCTTCGGGCTTTACATATAGCAACTCCGCTTTGCTTTGTCATCTACAAAAGTTGTTGTATAGTTTACATCAAGCTCATTGATGTCAGTTTGCCAAGCTTGCAACAACTTTAAAGGGGTATGGTTTTCTTCAATCTTAATCAGATTATTCTTTATTTACTTACAATAAAGAGTTCGTTCAGCTTAATGTTTTAGTGTATGTTGATAATTTGATAATATGTGGCAGTGATTCTGTTGTGGTAATGTAGTTTAAAGCATATTTGAGSGAGTGTTTTCATATGAATGATCTGGCCGTACTTAAATGGTATTGAGGTGGCTAGAAATAATTTAGGTAACAGAARTATGCTCTTGATATTATGTCTGAGTTTGGTCTATTGGGCTCCAAACCGGTTTCATTTCCCCTCGAACAGAATCATCAATTGACACGTGTCACCCTTCTCTCTCAAATTCAAAATCCTATCGGCGTTTAGTTGGGCAAAATAGTGTTAAGGTATTTTTTCATAAGAAATCACATTGATTCTATGTGATTTTTCGTTAGTTGTAGACGATATTTAAGTTTATAGTTTCGAAATAATCTTTTTAATCTTTTTAAAAATTATTTTTTTTACTTTAAAATAATATTTTAACACTTTATGTATAAATATAATAGTCTTTCTTTCTAATACTTCAATATTTGTAATCTTTTAATTCAAGAAGATGTATACATGAGATCAGGTTAATTTTAAACAAATAGGTATAGTTGAACTCTTTAGATTAAGATAAAGCTAATTTCGAGCACGACTCAATTATACATGAGTTACATTTTATAATTTGAAGGCGATAGTGTTATATTATTTTTTTTWAAAAAATTATTAATGACTATTTGAACTTTATTTTAATAGGAGGGTCGATAATATTTTATACGAACTTGCTTTAAGAAGAAAATTTTAAGTGAAAACTTTACAATATAAGCATTTAATCGCAAATTTTAAGAAATGTATAAAATAAGACAAAAGTTTGACACAACAGCACCAGTGGTCTAGTGGTAGAATAGTACCCTGCCACGGTACAGACCCGGGTTCGATTCCCGGCTGGTGCAATTTTAAGCAAGTAATGATGAGATTTACGCTCAAAGTGATGGTTGGGTCCATCGCATCCGTCCGATCTACAGGATGTCAATTAGCGTTGCTGAGCTTGCATTTTTATTTATTTACTTTTTTTTTTTACTCCTTTCTTTCCAAATCTCTCAAGTTCCACCAATTCTCTCTCCTCTCTCTATGCCACTCGTCGTGATTTTTCTCTCTTTTTTTTTTAAATCTTTAATACATTAATTTGAGTTAAAATGAAGTACCGAAAAACAAGGAAAATCAAGTGAAAAGTTCGAATACAAATTTGCTATCAATTTATTCCTAAAAATTAATTATTAAATTAATAACTTCATCTTTAATTACATAACTAATAGTATAATTTCAAGTGTTTTAATAGTTAAATAATGTTTAAAAACTTTAAGTATACAAATATATTAAAATAAATAAATAGATACATTCATAAAGAATATAAAAAAGTTTCAATTTATTTTTAAAAAATAATTGTAAAATTTATAACTATCAAAAATAAATTAAGAAAATCTATAATCTTTTTTGGAAAATATTGTTGGACAATTTTATTTCTCTATAAAATTTTAAATTTAAAAACATGTCACTCACAATTAATTATCATTAGCTATTAAATTATATTAATTAAATTTAAATCATAAAATGTAGGTAAAAATATAGTTTCAGTCCATGAAAGTTGGAGTAGATGTCTATTTGATCCAAATTGCAAAATGAACAGTTTTGATCTCTAAAATTTGGAGTATATGTCTATTTGATCTCTGAAGTTTTAAAATTGACATTTTTTATCCTTAAGGTTCGAGAAATAATTCTAAAATAGTCATTTGACCGTTACTTCATTGTTAGTTGATTGTTAATATGAGTTATTTCTTAGCAAGCTTCTCTACTATAATGAATTGGAATATGTGTGAATGTTACTTGCACAAAAACATAAGATATTTTTTTTTTAAGAAAAATGTAATCTTCTTTTAGTCTATAAACTAAAAAAAAAGTAACTATTTTGATTTTTATATTATTTTATTATCTAAAAAATGTATTTGCACCCAATACCTACCTCAACTAACTTATACAGGGCTGAGACATACTCATGTTAGCCCACTAATATAGATTGATTATAATTAACAACAATAGCCAAAAAGTTCTATTTTTATTTAAAAGGAAGTTAAGAGATTGTTTTGAAAGTTTATCAAAATAGAATAAACTTTAAGGTTGATGCATTAAAATAGACATTTTGAAAGTTTTAAGAATAAAAAATGAGCAATTCTAAAATTTCTGTTAGGAAAAAATGGAGAGAAATTAAGAAAACACGAAATTAATGGATCCAAACTCAAACATTGTTTCTTTAAGATAATTTTGTTCCCTCTGTGATGCTCAAAGTATCACAAACAATTGTCTCCCATAATATTGAAACATTACTAATTGTGAATGCTAGTCTTAGTAATCGTACAATAGAAAAGAGAAGGATAATTTTGAAGGAAGATTTTTGTGTATCCAAAACTAAAAAGAGTCACATATTTATAGACTATTTGTGGTCATTCAAATAGTCAAATCTTTACCGGTAAAGTTAGGTCTCTTAATAAAAAAAAAAAAACATATCTTTTCTTATAAGGTTTTGAGTCTTGAAAAAGAAAAAAGACATGTTCTCTCACAGAAAGTTGTAGTTCTTTATTATTAATAAAAATAATTATATTCATAAATCCAACCAATTCAATAATCAAAATGAGATTTAAATTGTATCGTACTGAAAGGATTTGTCTATGTGCCACCGGTGCCATAACCCCTAATATTGAATTAAAAGCTATAGTAAATTAAAAAGTAGCAATTAAACAATCCTAATATTGAAGGTGGTTTCCATTGCTTGAAGCAACCAAAGAGTTGTAAAACAATTCCATGAAGTGGGCAGGCGCATGCATTTGTATTTGGGTTTCAATTTATAGCTAATAATATAATAATGCTTAAAGATCTGCCAACACAATCATATCCCTTTTTCTTCCACATCAAAAATCTTGAAGTAGAATTCAAGCAGCTTCAATGGCACCTGCCCCACCCCTCTATTGTAATCCTATAACTACTCTCTTCTTCAATCTCTTATCTTTCATCTACTCCCCCTTTCGATGGAGTTTCCAAATCGTTTTGCTCTTCTCTTCTTCTTCTCTTCTCTTCTCCTTTTATGGGGTAATCTCGCGCTCTCCTCTACTTATCCGTTCAGTCAATATCTTTTATAGTACTAGAGCAAGAGTGCTAATTTGAGGTGTCTATTTGTCTTTTGAAGTTARATCGTCACAAGTATATAGATTTAACTAACCGCTACTCAAATTTTGACAACTTTATATTTTTAAGTATTCCTATCKTGTACTGTCAAAAAATTAATGTTAATGATAGCTAGTAGAGGGGTGTTGATTGATATGGAAAAAAAAGTTCTGGTACTATGAGAGTACCATAATCCCTTCCGTTTACTGCTCAACAGTATATTAAAAATGATGTGTGGTCCATTCATTTGATTTAATTTATTGTGTAAACAAAGGGAGTCTGTTACTCTCGTAGTAGTACTGGACTTTTTTCCATCGGTAAGCACATAAATATTATTATATTTAACATGAGATAGGAGGTATATTGGGATTCCAGCTCTCTCGATTTGCAGTGAAGGAGAAAATTCTTTTCTTTTATTATTGATTTTAACATGGATATAAGAATGTTGATGGGTAAGCACTCAACTACATTTGTCAGGTGTTCATGATTTCGTGATTTTAAAATTAATTTAATGGATTAAAGAAAACCAACCAATATAAATTTAGTWTGAAATCCTACCATAAAATTTTATTTTATTTTTTAGTTTATGTGATAATTAATATTGGAGTCGAAAGCTTTTGAAGTTTTTAGTTAGATTGGTACAATTTAGGAGTTTTCTTTTTCTAAAATTTTTTAAATGTAAAATGCAGGGCAGGGCACAGCACACACCGTGGCGTTTTACTTCCGTAACAAATGCCCATTCACCGTATGGCCGGGGACCGCCCCAAACGCCGGCCAACCAGTAATCGCCGACGGCGGCTTCTCTCTCCCCTCCGGCCAAACCCAGCGCGTCGTAGCACCATCCTCGTGGACCGGCCGGTTCTGGGGCAGAACTGGCTGCAATTTCGGCCCGAACCAGCAACGGCCCGCTTGCGAAACCGGCGACTGCGGCGGCAAACTCGCCTGCAAGGGGCTGATCGGAACCCCGCCGGCGACCCTGGTCGAAATCGCCCTCCAAGACGACAAATCGAAGCCCAGCTTCTACGACATCAGCCTCGTCGACGGATTCAACCTCCCGATTTCAGTCAATTCGAAGCAGCCGATTTCCCCCAAATGCGCGATCGGAGGCTGCGCCAAGAATCTGAACGAGATCTGCCCCGATGAATTGAAGGTGCTGAACGGGAACCGTGAAATCGTGGCTTGTAGAAGCGCTTGTTTGGCGTTCGGATTGGACTCGTTCTGCTGCAGAAATGAGTACGGGTCGCCGGAGAATTGCAAGCCGAGTTTGTATTCGAGGATGTTTAAGGACGCTTGCCCGTCGTACTACAGCTTTGCGTTCGATTCGCCGCCGCCTTTGGCCAGTTGCTCCGCGAAGGAATTCGTTGTCACGTTTTGCCCGGCGGGTTGGGGCGGCGGCGATGCTGCGGCGATTTAGGCGGTGAAGGAACTGGGTTTGAGTTTATGATGGTTCGAACCACGAGCGTGGTTGTGAATCGGCTTGCTTTATTTAGTTATTTTGTTTTGTGATATTTATATGAAAAAAGAAAATCGTATTTTAATTTCAAAAATATCTTTTATTTTTAATTTCTTTTTACATATATGTATGTATCTAAAAATTCAATAGGGATACGAAGAGTTAATTGAAATTTCTGACCAAATATGAAAATTATTAATAAAATATTATTAATATGAACATGAATATCAACACTAAGACATTTTAATTGATTTAGAAAATATAAAATGTTTATTTATTAGATTTTAAATATTTTTAATGAATTTAGTTTTATAGTTTTTTTTTAAATAACTATTGTCATTGACATTTATTTAAAGAAAAAAAATTAAATATAAGATGAATAACAAATGTTGGCGAGGAAAAAAAAAACAAAAATCTTAACAAATGGGTCATAGGAACTACTTTCTTTTTATTCTCAAAACTTGATTAGAAATTCAGAAATTTTTTTTAGAGTAGATTAGGAAATAAAGAAAATGCTAGTAAATAAATATGATTTTAAAAATAGGTTAAATTGCGAATTTGGTATTTCATAATTTTAATTTCACTTTGTTCTTTTTAACCTTAAAAATATTAAAATAAATAAATAAAACCGTTATTTTTTTTTCTTTCTGATTCAAATAAAAACGTTATCTAACTAGTCAAAACGAATATAGCTCAACGATGATTGATATATATCTCGAACTAAAAGATTGTGAGCTTAATCACTCATTCCTCATGTTGTACTAAAAAAACGTTATCTAATCACTCATTCCTCATGTTGTATTAAAAAAACGTTATCTAACTAGAATTATACCGTGAAAAATAAAACTTTGAAGCATTTTGATTAAAAATAAAAGTTGCTATTTTGTCCTTTTTCTTTCCCTCATTGACATGCACCACAAAAATGAGAATTATCCGTTTTTATTGAAGAAAAAAAATTAACATTCTTCCCACGTAGCTCAATAGGTAAATTTCAACTTTAAATCTCAGTTTCACAAAAGATGAACTTTTCAGACATTTAATTTTTTTTTTTTAAGACTAAAAGCAGGAACAATTAAGAAAGAGTATCCAAACATTCCAAAGCAAAAACAGAATGGAATTCCGTCGGCCATCCCTCCAACCAGATATGGCTTTCTCGAAGAAGAGCTCTCCTCACCATACCGTGTGTGGCTTCGTTCCCCTCTCTTCTGGTGAACAGGAACGAGCCCAACGCTTTAACAGGTAGAAGCCCTCTCACCATCACCACAATTTCTCCCACCTCTGAAACATCCTCCGTTTGCTGTCGGAACAGGTTGAAGATGCGCCAAGAATCTAATTCCAATTGAATCGGGTAGATACCTGCCTCCATCGCTTATCTCAGATCTTCACATGCAGTTTGAGCTTCGACCTCATCGACAGACGTCACGAATTCCAGGTAGGATAACAATACTTAGGCCTGCATTAGAATGTTAATTTTATAAAAATCCTCCACAGGAGCCTGCCATTGAACTGGATTATTATTCTGATAGTTGAATAATGGTTTTGCAGAAGAGGATCTGTATCCATCTAAGTAGGAAGCAGGTAAATCAATCCTTTCTTTCCAGTCGCGAAGCACATTTAAGGAATCCCGATAGTTGACAAATTGTAGCAAACTGGAGAATTTAGATACACTCCAAACGCTGCTTAGAAAGTTGCGGCCCCAGAAAATATGGAAAGCATCCTCCCCCTTCCAGCCACAGCCACAATGGCCGCAACAATTCACCACATTCGCACCTCTTTGAATGAGATCGACCCCGTTGGAAGTTTCCAGAAGAAAACTCTGAATGTTTAATTTCCATAAACCTTGCCACCAACTAGAGAGATTGTTCGAAGATGAAGAAGGCACCGAGTGGGGGATTTTGTCATGAATAAACCCACGACGCCACTGTCCCTCCGAGTTCAACAAATGACTAATTTAGTTGTAGTTGTAGATTCCATTTTCCTCGTATTTATGTTATAATATTCTCAAAATAAAACGCTATTACTTAATATACTTATGCCAGTAGAAAATAAAACAGATCATGTTAATTACTAACTCAACTTTTAGTAGAATTGAAATTTATCAAAATGTGAATGTCTAAAATTTAACTTTCTAACTTTCTAAAATTGCAGGGACTAAATAAAAATTGAGGTAAACTTTTAAGTACCAAAATTATGTTTTAACCTAATAAAGTTAAATTTCCATTCTATTACGAATGTAATTAATAACGTTAACTTGTACCTAACTTAACTGGTTAGGTATTAGATATCTATTTTTATGACGAGATGTTCGAGTTCATATCCCACATTATTAAATTAAAGAAAAACATAATTAATGATTTTCTTGTCAAAGTATGACTAATGAAAGCTATAAATACCGCTGTGTTAAGTTTACTTGAAGTGAATCAAAGAAGCAAGTGAGTCAAATTGATCAGGTTGGACCGCTTGAGCCGACCAAGTAGAAACAGTCCACCCAAGCGAGCGTGAGGGAACTCCCTCTACACATGGAAGAAGTGACCATTTGCTGTGTTTGGTACATTTTTTTACAACCTTATTTGCACTCAACTGAATTCATTGTATGCTTAGGCATGTATTGGGTTTCGCACCACGCCATAGTCCAAACCTTATTTTGTGTGCAAATATTTGTTTGGAGCATTCAATATCAAAATCTAGAAATTAAAGAAATAAAACAATGTAGTTGACAAAGTACGACAAATAAATTATACCACCGAATATACGAAAGAGAAATAAAAAAAAACATGGGTGACAAAAAAAATAGAGTTTTTGTCCATAGTGATTCAAATTATACTCAATATTTCATAAATTACTATTATATTAAATATTTACAAATCTAGATTTTCGGATTTAACTTATAATGTTTTGTTTCCAAATTGTCATAAATTAATATCAACTAATTTAGTGTGATCTATTTTGTATTTGTTAATTATATTTAACGTGATTCAAATCTTACCATATTTGGTGGACACCAATTTTAAATATCAAGATATTTTCAAACTTTTCCAAAATAACTACCAATTAATAATAATTTTTAAATCCTTCCATTTATAATAAAAATTCTCCAATTCTTTTATTTTTCTCCTTACCGAAAACTGCCATAACATTTTACTTTTTCTTACAACATATTTTTATGGCGTCTTTTTTTTTCTAATAGTATGATAAACATATACTCCTCTAAAAGGCTATATAATATGGACACGACCATTATATAATACATGTTTCACTTTAATCTTCTAATATACAGTATAATAAACATATAATCCTCCATTTTTCATTGTTATATACTAAACTAGAAGATTATATAATATATTTTTTTATCGAACTTACAATATGATAATATATACCCACAATATGTTATATAATATATACATAATTTTATAATTAACAAAATTAGAGGATAAAGAATTGTCTTTCTCTCATATTGAAAAATGTAAAGTAAACGATTATATATTACAGATCATAAAAGAAGAACAGGAAAGATAGTAAATTCTAAGATATTTCCCTTCTAAAGTTACAAATAAATCAGCATTTAAAACTGAACTAATGAGAGATACTTCCATATTCCCCTCCAGATGGACGATGGATATAAAGATGGATATGAAGATTCCCATCTTGGATAGTAGTGGGAAGAAAGAAGTTGTAGGAAGCAGCTTCGTGAAGGTATCAGCAAGTTGAAGTTTGGATCTTATCGGCATTAACTTAATAAATCCATTAACAAGCTTGTCTCGAATAAAATGACAATATAACTTAATATGCTTAGTACGTTCATGGAACGTCAGATTGGATTCGATTTGTATAGCAGCTTGATTATCACCAAATAAGCTCACAAGTTGTCATAGCAAGGGCAAAATATTCGGCCTCTGCCGAATAACGAGATACAATGGTTTGTTTCTTGGTTTTCCATAAAATTAAGGAATCATCCAAGAATATGCAAAATCCGGTGGTGGATTTTCTGGTGTCTAAGCAAGAACCCTAATCAGTGTCTGAAAAAGCTCGAAGTTGAAGGGAAAAAGATTTTGCAAGAAAAATCATTTGGCTTAATGAATTTTTCAAGTAACGTATGAGATGATACGCAGCAGATAAATGAGATTTACAAGGTCGAGCAACATATTGACTTAGCTTATTGACCGTAAATGTGATATCAGGTTGGGAAATTGTAAGATAAAGAAGTCGACCAATAAGACGTCTGTATATCCTTGGATCAGGTAAGATGTCATCACCAGAAGCTTGAAGACATAGTTGAAGATCCATAGGTAAAGATGTCGGCTTCCATCCAAGTAGGCCAGTGTCTTACAAAATTTGGAGAGTATATTGCCGTTGGGAAAGACAAATTCCCTTAGACGATTGAGAAAGTTCCAGCCCAAGAAAATATTTTAAACTTGAGATCCTTAAGTTTGAATTTCTCATTTAGGAGACCTTTCAATTTCTGATTTATGTTGAAGAGGCGCTGGTTATGATTATGTCATTGACATAAACAAATAAGGCATTAAAGGATGTCTCTGACCCTTTTGTAAAAAGTTAATAATCAGATTTTGATTGGTGAAAACCAAGAGATAACAAGGTGTGAGAAGTCTTGAAGCTTGTTTCAACCTGTATATGGATTTGTGTAAACGACAAACCAAATGTCCACCTTTAGGAGGTAAAGATATATTGGTTGGTTGATAACCCAATAGGAAATCCATATAGACCTCCTAAAATAAATCACGGTGTAAGAAAGCATTGTTGACGTCAAGTTGTACTAACGGCCAAGTTTTAGAGACAACAATAGTGAGAAAGTGCTTTGACGGTGACTAATTTTGCAACAGGAGAAAATGTTTCAATGAAATCAAGTCCCTCTTGTTGTGTGTAGTCTTTCACCACTAATCAAGCTTTATATCGCTCAATAGAACCATCAAATTTATGCTTAATTTTGTATATCAATTTGCAACCAATGACGTGGTGTTCAGGGGGAAGAGAAACCATTGTCCATATATTGTTTGCTTCCATTGCTTTAAGTTCATGTGACATAGCTTCACGCCAATGTGGATAAGAGATAG